AGAAAACTAAAATTGTCCTTGAGAGCGTCACCGAGGAAGGCTCTAAGTTCATTGTCTATGGTGCCAGTTGAGTTGAGCATAAAATCAAGCCAGATTTTTGCAGCAGACTCCGGTCGATTTTGGTTTTCTGAAATTATTGGTTCACCGGTTGCATCAACACAGATTTTCAGCCAGTCATTCGGTTCAATCGAAAGAATGTTAACGGGAAGCTTGAAAACTTTTTGCAATTCACCTTTCAAATCACTCTCATCAATTTTTTTCACTTTTTCGCCAAATGCATTTAGTAATGTAGTAAAGGCCGGGCCATTGGGATCATATTTGCCAGCGACCAATTTGAACTGCAAAATAATTTTTTTTATCAAAATGAGAAAAAAAAACATACATACTTTTTTTTGAAAATTATTACATGGTTGAAGCTTGCCAACGTTAAACAGGCTACGAATAGAGACACCTTCATTATGTTCAAAGTTGATAAAGCTGGTTGCTGTTCTAAATCGAACTTGTTAACTGTAGTACACACAACTCTTAAAGGTCTTTTTATACAAATATTATTGCGTGACAGTAGTGAACATTTTTATAATTATTTATAACAAAATTGTGAGATGTTTCTAGAAGCTGTACAAAATTGAAGAGAGCGATTTTTTTTGTGTATTTGACTCAACATCAATACAACACGTACGTTTTAAATAGAAAAAGTTTGCGATAAAAAGACTACAGTTCATTTTCATATCGTTGGCATGATATCGATTGTAATTGTTTTGGAGTTAAATGGTGCTATTATTATGTCTTGCACTTACAAATGCCGGGTCAATTTGCTTTGATTTATGTCTGCCACATATAATGTAAGAATCGATTGTTAATCTTCTCCTCAATATTTTCCTTGCTTTTTTCAACTGTTTTTTTTTTTCTTCTGTTAAAATGCACATTTCATTTTAATACAATGTTCCGTTTGTTTACAAACAACAGTGAATTTGTCACAAGAGAATTCTGATAAATTGTTTATCTTTTATACTTTTATCTCTCCATTTTTGTCATCCGCGCTAGCTCTTCCATCCGCTGACAACTGGTTGGAATACAATTGCAACAAAAACAAAAACGGCAAAACGAACAAAAAAATGGGCAAAATATTATGAGTTTGTTTACATCTTTGCAACTTTTCTACGAGTACATAATAAACAAAACTATTGTGCGTGTTCATTTCACTCGAATTCTTAGAAACGATGACCATTGTGCTTGCAAACGCTTGTAGCTGGCTCACTCAATTTATCGGAATTGTTATAACTTGCAGAAACATTTTTATTCGTTTGTTCGCATTTTTGCCACACTTTTTTTGCTTTTGTTCTTTTCACAAACATTCCAAGCTTTCAAATCGATAAAAATTCACATATTCAGGTCTTTCTACTTTATGATCGTTGAAATTGTGTTTACGTGATACTTAAAATTTACTTTGAATTAATTGAAAACTTCTTTGAAATCAATTTAATATTCGTCGAATTCTATTTCGTTCATTTGATTAAACATTCTTCGAGCAGATATGATACGTGAAATTGAGTATGGAAAAAATTTTGCGTTAAATTTCGTTGGAAAATTCAAAAATTTGAATCATTCATTTTTTTCTTGCAATTAATTTTGATTTATTGCATTATTGAAATAAATTTGAAAATAAACACATACTCAATCTAGCTCCTTGGGTATTTAAACCTGTAAAAAATTGCATAAAATTGCGACGAGATCGTGTCAAGTGTCGATATTCCAAAAAGAAGATGTAAAACATGATCAATTGAAGTTGATTTTTATATTCACACAGATGAAACCAATTGTGCTTATTTTAAAATAAATTCAATCATAACGTTCAAATGTGTCCAGGCCACTGACTGTTTTATTTTTGAGTGTTGACAGGCAAATAAAAAAAAATCGGCGAAATACCGATTTGAAGACCATATGAAAACTGAATAATCGCACGTACTTTAATGAATGAAAAAAAAATCTGAATCGTCGAACGGGAACTATAAAAATAATCGAAACGAACATAGAACAATATCAGCGGAAAAGCCGAAGTGATGATATTACATTACACACTCGCCAGCCCATTCGAACACATACAATGTACCGGCTTGCTCACATCGATCACTCTCTTTCCAGACGATAAGCTATTATATATAATTTTTTTTCCTTCGTGTGCGCCTTTAAAACTAAACATACAAAAGTCAAAGAAAGAAAGACCGAATAAAACAAGCAACGAGTAAAATATATACGTACGATATCGCTCGAAATACAAACGCAGCTAAGAACGCACAAGAGACGTGCTTAGTCGCCGCGAGAGCCTGTAAGTGAACAACATTTCAATTCGGCGATTTAGTTATAAGTTGGGACGCAATCAAAGCGAACACATATCATCTTGTCTTGCAGTGACAGTTTTTTTCCCTCTCGCTTGTTTGCTCGCTCTTAAAATTTTTTCTGCGAAAATTTTGCCGTTCGTTATCATCATTTTTCTATTTTCATTTTATTTTGAATTTTTGCTTTCGATTCTTAAATCATTGTACAATTTTTTTTCTGACTATATTTTTTTTTGCTTCAATCAATCAAACTTTTCAAAAGTGTTTTAAAATATATTTGAATGGAATTTTAAGCGATTTGCTAAGAATTGAGAGCAAAAAACATAGAGTTTCTTTTTTCTAAGCGAAACATTATCATCCGATATTTCAGATTAGAATTGTTCTCGTTTTCAATTGCATCATTGGATTTTTCGGACTTTTAATTACCAACATCATATAAATCGGTGTATTTTTTTTTGTTTCGATTATCATCGTTGTCAACTTCGTCAAAATGAGAGAAATCGTACATTTACAAGCCGGTCAGTGCGGCAATCAAATCGGAGCCAAGGTAAGTTCACGCAAAAAGTAGTTGCGGTGTTTTTTGTTAAATCACAGCTTTTTTTCTTCGCAAATTTAAAGTCAATCACGTCAAATTCCAATTCGAATGAAGAAAAAAAAGAGTATATATTTTTTTTTCATTTCATGAACAGTCAATGTGAACAGTTTAATGACCTAATATCAAATTGAAAGGTTGTTTTCGGTTCGTTCTACGAATCAATTTTATTTTTTGGCTCATCCTTATAAGAATCATTTCTAATTGGAAATCATACACACACAAAAAAATGGTGGCTCATGTTTTTGGTATGTAATCCATAATATTATTGATAACTGTGTATTAACTGTATACACTGTATACACAAGAATTTAATTGGACAAACAAAGAAGACCGGCATGAGCCATACACCACAAATATATGCCGCAAATAATACGGAACGTTATTATACATTATAATAAGACAGATGGGCCGGAAATCAATGACATGAATTCAAATTTAAGAGACACATTTCGAAAGAAAAAAAACACTGTATGCAATAGAAGGAGAAAAATACGATCGAAAAAAAGTTGAAATCTATACACAGAATATTTGATAGCCAGCGGCCTCTTCCAACATATATTTTCCGTTTAGCATTTTTTTTCTGGTATTTTTTTACTTATTCATAATAAAATGAAGTCTAACTTGAATGGCAAGTACAATGGTCAGCTGATTCAATTGAAATGAATCGCTTTGTATAGCACTTTTTTGGTTTTTCGTGCAATGCATTACAAATTCAAATTGGTATGTGTCATCATCGATCGCCCTTACTCGAGTTCATGCACATCTATTTGGAATCGAATATCAAAAAATACGTTTAGGTTAGAGAAAAATGTAATTTTTAATACAAAAATTTCGATTTTAACGATATATGCCAAACAGCAATGAAGTTCATCAATATCTTTCAATCAATTCAAGCACTTCATTATATTTTTGCATTTCAATTGCCAGTCAAATCATCGTCGTCAGTGTCATAATCATCTTTTGCTTTGTGATGTGTCGCTGCTGTCGTAAAATGTCGATTAAATTGTCGAATCGTTATATTATGGCACCATAAAATTAAGATTTCTGTGTTGCGTTCATGAGTAAGCTTCGTTGATATAATTAATCATGAGTGATTCATGAGCTCCGCAGGCTCATTTCAGTAAAACATGATGGCACAACTGTCTTGATTGAAAAATAAAAAATTCAATTTTCATTCAACAACAACAACAACAAAAACGAACAATGTTGTAGAAGAAGGATGTACAATAGTTCCAATCGACTTCCGAGCTAAGCAACCAGATAATTATAGCTTAACACATATGATGTCAAGCGTATCCACTTGGACATTGTTCATATTTTGAAAAAAAAAAAAGAATTTATCTGTTTTCGACGGTTGTTGCTGTTGTATTTCGTATGGCGGCAGACTTTTTCGTTGCTAATTCAAGTGAATGAAATGAGTGTGTATCATCAACAGCTGAGTTGCAATTGGATGAGTAATCGCTGCATTAGACGGATATTGATTTCTTTCAATCAGTCCGTCCGTCAGTCAATAAACAGTTTGAAACAGTTGTTAGATAGTCAAGGAGAAAACACTTCAGAAAGTTGTCGAACCCAAACAAATGGAAAATATCTGTATTATGCATGCGATAGCGAGCATTGCATTACAATCGCATTTCGTTCTCTTGAGAATTGATAATAAGCAGAATGCGGATTAAAATAAGTGAATAGGCAATGATTTCCACATACATAATTACATCTAAATATCACATCGTTGGCTCTTTGGGTCCAGAAAAAACGAAAATTGTTTATTTTTCCACATCGTTGATGCATCATATCGTTAAAATACCACCGATTTAGATAACTTAGCTGAAATATTTAATTGAAATTCCGTTTTGATTTTTTTTTTCAAATGCCGAAGATCTTTTTCACAGTCAATTCAAACTTAACAATTCAACTTTGTCTGTCGCTTGGTTGCATAAATAAACAAAAAAAAAGAACCCGAAGAAAACATAGCATATTCTGGTTCGATTTGAGCATTGGATGCAAACCATTTGATAGTGTTTGGCAGCATTCATTTGCATTGGATTTCCACACATTCCGTTTGTTTGGTTGTGATGACGGCTGGTAAAATGTGTGGCTATGTATATTTAAAATACACATTTTTATTTATAACTGCGCCCATCTGAAATAACGGCCATCCGATGGATGGGATTGCTACATTGAAAACGATTTCTTTTGTATAATGAATATTTAAAAGCAAGAGCCAAACAGACAGAGATAGAGAGAGAGAGAAAAGAAACATTTGAAACTGGAATCCTCATCAGTGATGACATAGGCAACGGGAATGCGTTGCTTCGGGAAATTGTTCAACAATTGTATAAGAATGGATCGAGAGAAAAAAAAAACAAAATTATAACATTTTCACACTCTGACTGATGGTTGCACTCGCGATCACCAAAGAATGTATGCTATTTTTAGTGGTTATATTCATCATGGTATGTGATGCATTACTCAGAGATTGAGAAAAAGAAAGAGTGGAAGCAAGAGAGAGAGACTAGACACGACAAACTCACATCACAGCACATTTCTCTCGGTTCGCTCCAAAGCGCACACATGCAATTGAAATCCATCGAAAAATGTAAAATGTTATCCTTCAAATCGTAGTTTTTAGACATACATTTACAATTTTAATGTATCTAGTTGACGACGAATTCGTTTTCATATCGCAATCACAATATTGAAGATTTTCTGTATGCAAAATGCCAAAAGTTATACGAAGTCTTTGTTTTTATTTCATTTCTCATTTCGCCAAAGAGTAAAACGATAAAAAAAGCAGACAGACTGAAACAATGAACATGAAATGAGTGAGAGATGTGAAAAGTCTCCTTTTGATTTGTTTCACTAGTTTTTGTCTTTGATTTGTGATCATTTTTGAATGATGCATTTCGTTTGGTTTGTGTTTTTCTTTAGCCGCACAAGCAGCTGTGACCATTTGTTCGGTGGAAACACATTCACTCGTCAGATTCATTTAATCGGATATGTTGCGCGAGCACAAAACTGTGACGAAGACTAAATATTATCATTTTTTGTTGATCTTCATCTCATCTCGTTCGAGCGGTTAATTCAATTAATGGAAATAAATTGCGTTTGAGTCGAATGTCGAAAGTTGAGAAAAACACCAAAATGACTTTGCATTGATTTCATGCAAAAAAAAAAATCTGAAACTACTTCTTTACTCATATTTTGATTGAGAATTTAAGAAAAAATAATGATAAAATTTTCACAATCAGTCGATTGCATTTCGAGTGCTCTTGAGTGTGAGCACGTGTGCTTATATTTTTTTTAACGATGCAATAAATTTAACCGGCATGTCATACGATCGATCCGTTGAGGCACATCAAGGAAAATTTATATCAAATGTGATTTTTTTTCTTCCTCTCTTGCATTCATATTCCTTTGAAATCTTAAAAAAAATAACGTGCATCATCCGCATAACAACCGAGCGAAAAAAAAACCAAAGTTAAAAATGAACGATGCCAAATATAGAATTGGAAAAGAGACAACCAAAACGGGATTGAGAGAAAGAAGAAACATACCGTCTCCCGCATAGAATTTCACAATTTATTTAAAAGGAAGACAAGACAAAGAGAAAAAAAAATTAATTAAAAGAATCGCACCGTCTACGTTGCATTCGAAAAAGTGGAATCTCGTCTCTAGAACTATCGCAAACGCGAATAGAAATTTCGATGTGGCGTCTCTGAAGTTTTCAGTCAAGAATCCAATAGGCGACATATTTTAATGGATGCGCATGAAATGCGTGTTGCATTTCATGTATTCGGCACTATATAAATATATGAGCCAATTGCGACGACAATCCAACTCCTTTCCATTTCAGTCTGTTAAGTGCGCGCACGCGGAAAGTGTTTTAAATTACAATTTTAACGACGGCCATACATCTCTCTCTCTTGTTCTGCTCTGCAGCAAGCACAGTTTTACTAGGCAATGTTTCACTAATTAATGTGATTGACACCAAAGCACTGAACATTTGGTCACAGCATCCACTCTCTGCATTTAGTTGCTTGCATTTTTTTTTCTTCATTCGTTTGTTTGCTGTTAGCATTTGCGCCGTTCAAACCACAACCGAAACTGTCCGTATGCGAGAGTGTCTCCACGCATATTTAATGTTCCATATGTGTAATGTTAATTAACAAATTTCTAAATGAACTGGTAAAACAAACATTCCATAAGGGCAAAAATGTGCCGAATTCATTTTAACCAATTTAAAATCCGTAAAAGAAATTATTTTCAGTGTGGAAGTATATTTAATCAGCCAAACCATTTGATTGGCATGCAAATGCACGTACAACCATTTTTTTATTACACGTAATAACATACCCATTTGCGATGAGTTCAATACGCTTGAATGGAATGTAAAGCAAATACACACAAAATGTTCGATGTATATATACGACAAATATGAATTGGACGCTTCGGGTTCCATTTTGGTATAAAGTCTTTTTGTTCATTTCATTTCATTTTTTTTTCGCTTCTTTTCATTAAAACAATCATTGAATAATGTCTAAGTGCCATCACTTCTTTTCGTATATTTCAGTTCTGGGAAATTATTTCAGAAGAACATGGTATTGACAAGTCTGGAACATACATGGGCGATAGCGATTTACAATTGGAACGTATTAGTGTTTACTATAACGAAGCTTCAGGTAATTTTTTCAACACATTTAATTGACAGATCAAAACCTTTTTTTTATCGCCGAATTTGCTTTAATCCGATCTCTTGAGCACGGTACAAACTAAAAAGATCCGTCTCTTTTTAAGTTTCGTTACTTGATTAGTTTTTGTTGAGCAATTTTCTGCTCGCAATTACCCAATTTAAACATAGTGGTATCATTTTTAAAAATAAATTACTCATCACATTGGTAGAAATTATATATATATTTGAGAGCATTCTTTTTTGGATTTGAGTTACTTAAAAAAATTACTTTCGAATTGTAGCTGTATCACGTTCATCGGGAGGTAAATATGTGCCACGTGCCATTCTGTTAGATTTAGAACCAGGAACTATGGAAGCAGTTCGATCTGGTGCTTACGGTCCACTTTTTCGACCAGGTTTGATTGCACTTCAATTATCTTTAAATTGACATAATAAAACAATTAAATTGATTAAAATCGATAGATAATTTTGTATTCGGACAATCTGGAGCCGGTAACAATTGGGCCAAAGGGCATTACACGGAAGGTGCCGAGTTAGTTGACTCTGTATTGGATGTTGTTCGCAAAGAATGTGAAAATTGTGACTGTCTGCAAGGTTTTCAACTTACTCACAGTTTGGGCGGAGGCACTGGCTCTGGCATGGGCACATTGCTCATTTCGAAAATCCGCGAAGAATATCCGGATCGAATTATGAACACATATTCAGTCGTACCATCACCAAAAGTGTCTGACACAGTCGTTGAACCGTACAATGCAACGCTATCTATTCATCAACTGGTTGAGAATACCGATGAAACCTATTGCATTGACAACGAAGCGTTGTACGACATTTGTTTCCGTACACTTAAAGTTCCAAATCCAAAGTACAGCGATCTCAATCACTTGGTAACGTATTTGCTCTTATTGATTAAGTCGAATTCTTATAATAATGATTTATATTAGGTGTCGCTGACAATGTCTGGCGTTACCACTTGTCTTCGATTTCCTGGTCAATTGAATGCCGATTTACGTAAATTGGCTGTAAATATGGTTCCATTCCCACGTCTTCATTTCTTCATGCCCGGATTTGCACCGCTTGTATCACGCAACGCACAAAACTATCGTGCCCTCACCGTACCAGGTGAGTTAACTTTTTGCAGTCTCATTCTTGTATTTAAAACACTGTGTGATATATTCATTTTGTCTATAGAGTTGACACAGCAAATGTTCGATGCAAAGAACATGATGGCTGCGTGCGATCCACGACACGGTCGTTACCTTACCGTTGCAGCCGTTTTTCGTGGTCATATGTCGATGAAAGAGGTGGATGAGCAAATGTTGGCTGTACAGAACAAAAACAGTAGCTACTTTGTTGAATGGATTCCAAACAATGTGAAAACAGCTGTTTGTGATATTCCACCGAAAGGATTGAAAATGTCATCGACCTTTATTGGAAACACTACAGCCATTCAAGAATTGTTCAAACGTGAGCGTGTTTTTTTCTCTCCACGATTGAAATAATATTAATTTTTAACTGTTTTTTTGATAATTAACCAAATGATAGGTATTTCGGAGCAATTCAGTGCGATGTTCCGTCGTAAAGCTTTCTTGCATTGGTACACTGGTATGTTTTGCCTAAATGTTTAAATATACAAAAAAAGAAAACGTTTAAAATGCGACTGTTTTTGTTTTTTTAAAAATAGGCGAGGGAATGGACGAAATGGAATTCACTGAAGCCGAAAGTAATTGCAATGATTTGGTGTCCGAATATCAACAATACCAAGAGGCCACCGCCGATGATGAATTTGAACAAGAGGATGTTCCGGAAGAGGTCGAAGACGAATGCGTTTAAATAACCGCATAAACCAATCTATTTTTAACAAAACAATTGCACATCTCAACTTTGTAACTCATTTTGATTTTTCGTGTTTTATACTCTCTTTTTTTTTGTCTATCGATAAAAATGAACACAAACAAAATGTTTCTCCTTTTTGCTCTCAAACAAAACTTATTTTATTCAAATCTGTAACTTTATCAATGCCAAAAGAACATTATTGCAACATATTAAATGATATTTTCAGTTAACAATCTCTATTTAGTCCCTTCAGTTAATTTAAAATAAAATATTCGTAAAAAAAGTTTCGTCAGAGAAATTGTATACGTTACATTATTTTTTAATAAAATAAAATTGCGTTCTTTGCATTTCATTTTATGCATATGAAGTTTTTTTCTCTCGTTTTTTTCGAAACTGATGAAATACTCTTCTTTTATCTATTTTTTTTTAAATGTTGGCTTTTATTAAATTCAATTTGGCTCATAGAGAAAACAAAAATGTTCAATTTACAATTACAATAAATAAAACCATATATATATTGTTGACAAAGTTTCCACTCTAGATCGCCACGACATTGGTGTTTGCAGTTTGAATAACATCCTCTAGTAGGTCGAAATTTGCATGCTTAAATATATAGAATCGAAAGTAAGTTCAAAAAGAATGCGTAAAACCATCAATGTACATTATAATAGACAGTAGAATATTTTCTCAATGTCCATCATGATGTACCTGACTTACTTTCAAACAATCACCACCAGTGTCATGACAATCTAACTCGTCAGTATAAGTTTCATTATTCTGTTATTTAACTAAATGAAAAACTTACGAAAGTCACAATAGTTTGCAATTTAAAATTGGTTCATTTGGATCATAGAATGAATGATTGATAAAAGTTTGAGCGAGTTCATGTCTCCACTATAAGTGCTATACACCAACAGATGGCGATGTCTAGTCGATTTCATCGAGAATATAGGTTTTGTTTTTAAACTTAATTTGAAACTGATGCTCTTCTATTGTGCCAGTTAACTGTAAACTATTTTTAAAAAAATGCATATTTATTTCATCAAGCTGACCCATTTTTAGCGAATTTGACTCATTTTGAGATATGATTTATTTATTTCAATTGAGAAAACGCCAGTCAGTGACGTTAGTTAATCTTGATCTTTTCTACAGTTATTGTACAACCGTACCATTCTTGTAGTTAAATTCTGGCAATTTTTTTTAATTGATACTAAAAACTGAGTGATTTGTAAAACAAGAGATCACACACGATCAGTGTTTTATGGAAGGTTTGTTACATTTTTTGCGGAAAAGAATAATAAAAGAAACTAATAATTGCTTCAATCTGCATGTGAAGCGTGCATATCCGTTAGATATGGTATTGAATACGTCGTCAAATTGTATTTCCATGAATTCGATTACGCAATCGAAGTGAAAAGAAAAACAAAATTGATAAGAAAGCGGTCCAGTTTGATTAGCTTACCCGTAAAACAAATTCCGAAGAAAATTTCAAGTTGTTACGTATATTTAAAGAATCACATGTATTGTTTGACGCCATAATAATGAATGACGAGATCACGTTTGTGTTATCGAATTCTACTTACATCGAGATGACTTCTATTGCGTCAAAATGATTTCATTTTAGCAGAAAAACATCATCTTGGAATTGATTGATCAAAATCTGAATTCAGTGTTTGAGCAAATCTTTTGCATGCATTTTTCTTTATGCGTTATAATTTCAAAATACGAACGAAAAAAAAAATCGGCATGTTTATGTGTCTTGAAAATTATACATATAGATCATTTTTCCCAAGAGACTTTTCAACTTAAAAGACTTTGTGTGAGCACTCGAATCACATAATTGTTTTGCAATTTATGTGCAGAGAACAATATTTTTCTTTTTTCATTTTTAATTAATTTGGAATTATGAACATTGGATAATAATTGTAAATGGGATTTTTATTTGTTCATTTTTCACTCGACAGAGAGCATTATTTCATTAGCAACATTTAGTATCTGAAGTACACCACCGCCACACAATTTATTACCGACTGTGTGAGTGTGTGTGTTTTTTTTTCACTCTCTTCGCTTTTAAACATTAAAATCTAATCACTTGTATCATTATGTAATCGATGTGTTTTTTTAACCATTCACATCATTTGGCGCACAATCCAATTGTTGAATGCATTGTTTATAGGCGAATATCATCGAAATTTTGTTTAGAACAATTGCAACAAAGATCGCGGCTGATATGATGGTTTCACAAACTGAACAATGTTCATTTGTTATGGCACTCAAAGCAAAAGAGAAAACGTCAATTAATTACGGTTTTTATTGATATGAAAAATAAATTCAAATATGAAAAAATAAGAAAAAAAATTCTTAGTGTGAAATAATTCAAAGAATGATGGTATTTTGATCAGACTTATTTACTTTTTAAATGCACATTCCAAAATATTTTATCTAGCTACATGGAAAAATCCTAACCACACATATCGGTAATTCTCGAATTTTGACAGTGCGGATCCACGTTAAAATCAAGTAAAGTACACGCTTCCATTATGTAATCAATTCTACATATTTCGTCTATTGAGGTTTGAAAGAAAAATCTTCTTGGTAAAAAAGTTAACTTTTAAAAAAAATGATGCTGCTTCTTCATATCTAAAAACGAGTAAAAACATTTTCTTGTTCGAATTTTTGTCATTTCTCCTCCCCAAAAATATGGTGTGCTCAAAAATGTTTACATTTTCATTGAAAACTGAGTGCAAAAATAATGCTTTCAAAAGTGTTCCGTTCATGATTTGTCTTCGGGCGTTTTCGATTTCATTTGAATGGTGCATGACAAATGAAAAATAAAACGTTCGCGCATAAATAACTAATTTGAACGAGAAATCGAAAAAAAGCAACAAGAAAGAAAATATTACATACATTTACCGTAAAATGTCATTTTGTGCTGAAGTAGATCATTTGATCGGCATGATTTGTTTTGGAATTAGTGTGTCGATGGTTCACATGTCTTATTCTGTATGTAGTAAAAGTGCGCGAATTACATCACAAAGCATTGCAAATGTGTGATTGGCGAATGCATCATTTCTGTCCGAAGCACGCGAAAAGAAAATGAAGAAGAAGAAACCGAAAATACCAAGCAAATTCAAATTAATTCGTTAAATATTTTATTTTGTGAATTTTGCTGGCACCGTGAATCTTTTAATCAAATTCGCCGAGAACGAATGAGAGTGATAAACCGCGAGTTAGAGTGTGAGAAAGAGATAGAGCGAGAGAAAAAAGAAAGAGAATCTAGAGCAGTTTTATAACAGCATTTGCTGTAACAATGGATATACCGGAGTAACAATAATATACCAAGTCGTTTGATGTATGTTTGTATGTGCATAATCGAATATGCACGCGAGTGAGAAACTCTTGCTGTCGTCGTTGCCAGCGAAAGAGCGTGCATAGATGGAAGAAAATGACGCAATTATTTCAACAAATTTTCCTCAATGTAGTCACAAAATGTAATAACAATTTTACAGAAGTGGCACCAATACAATGAAAAGCTCTTGTTACCTATTGAGTGTACACACAAATACAATCACATTGTTATAACAAATAAGCGCACACACTGTAGTCGATAAAAGTGCGCTCGATTCGAACCAAAGAGAGAAGAAGAAGAAAAAAAGTAAACATAAAAATTAGCTTTCACGAAACGAAATTTTCAGGCTTTTTTGTTTCTCTCTCTCTCTCTATTACATTGTAACAAAATAGAAAAGAGAACCTAAAGTTTTCAGTTTCGGCGAGTCTATGCTGTAATTGGCGTGTGTGTCTTTTTCGGCTCGCTGTGTCTATGTATGAATGCATGATTTTGTGTTTTTCTTCATGAATTTTTATCTCTTTTCGGGCGATTGGTTCTCTATTCCTCCGTTTTATTGTTGTGTGAAAGAAAACGGCGAAGAAAAAAAGGTAACAACGAAGAAACCACCGCATGGAAAGTAGGTTGAACGTAATTGTTTCGTGATCATCAAAGTGCATATTAGCGTAATATAACGTAACAAAGCGTATTCTTCTTCTTCTTCTCAGTCGTTATTGTCTTTTTTTAATGCCATGTTTTCTCTTCATCGCATTTGTATCTCTATCAATCTGATGGTAAGATGTTGATAAAAATCAGCCTATGCGACTCATGAATCGCATGAGAACACACTATATTATGCCGCAATTGTGTGTGCGTTATTTATGTTGTTTTTTTTTTGCTTCTCGTTTGTCATCTTCAAACTTGTTTCTGCATATCGAAAAATTGTCACACAACCATCAGCATCCACGCCGCATTTATTCTCAATTGAAAACTGAAACGAATTATTATCATTTACGTTTCGCTTTAAAACATAAATCGTGCGCACCTGTTACATTACCTCACAACAATTCAATTCAAATTCATAGTGTTCAATGTGCATATACATCGACAGTTGTATCAAAAGAATAAGACAAACAAAGAGGCAAGACAATGTAGAGACGGCCACCGAATGAAAGACAATGCGCCGGCGAGAAGAGAACTAATTAGATCAAACAAACGACTCGGGAAAATATGGAGTAAAGGTGAAAGCACCTACACACGTGTCACACAAAATGCGCCCGCGCACTTCACTCAGAGTAGTAGATGACGCAAATGCGTTCAAACAAACAATGCTGATTGTAAATTTGTTTTTGATGCAGATTCTGTTTTTGTTTCTCGACTGAAATTCAACTATGGAATATCGAATATTCGGTCATTGCATTTTGATGTAATCCGTTCGAGTCAGTCTAGCGGGTCAGTCCCGCACACAATATTTTTTGCGCACATGCCCGCACACATATGTTAAAAACGGAAAAGAACCAATACTGCATTTACCATTCGAAAAACTTCCGTAATAATACGATTGTACCCGTTCAGATTACGACATCGAAAACCGATTGATACAAAAATGACGGAAAATAAAATTCTTGATTATATGTGCTTCTCTTTCTCTCTTTCTTTTCGCTTCATTCTCATTGACAGTTTTTCTTAAATTGAAAACAATGCACAATCGGCTGCAATAACCGCGCACGAGGCGCACACTCTCGAACAAACATGGCCCGATTCCAAACATACACCGGCATATAATTTATTATTATTATATCATAAAGAGACAAATCATTTCATCATTCCATTAACTCTTTTGTTATCATCAACGTTCTTGTGTGTGTGTGTGTGTGTGTGTGTGTGTGTGTGTGTGTTTTTGTTTTCAGGAAACATTTCACTCTGTGTACATGAAAAAAATTAACCAGAGATCTATTTGAACAGACTGGAACACAAAAATAATAGATAATCACTTGTAGAAACGATGATAAACTAATCAAACTAATGACAATTTTTGTTTCTTCAATTTTCTACTAAATACCTGGCATTGAGTTTTGAATCATTGAAAAGCGTGGGCCAGTTGAAAAAAAATCCCTTTTTGTTTCTGAAGTTTCTTGATATGTAATCGCCGTTGAAAGACCCCGTTTATTGTTGTTTACATGTTTGTTGTTCAATTTTGTCATTGCCCTTCTCGAAAAAAAATGGAAAATATTCAATGAGTGCATTGCACTGCCAATATATTATAGCCAAAAAAAATTTTTAATCAAGATAATTTTTTTTTCTCATTTGGTCTAATGGTATCGGTGTGACTTTTGGCAGTACATTAGTGTTTACCATATACATATATCAATCGATTATATTTCAAATCGAGCAATTGAACGAATCAGCGCGCGTCATAACTTGTATGCACTCGTGTGCCATTTCTTGTTACTTTTTATTTTGTTATCAATTTTGGTATTTTGATGTACAGTATTTTTCTATTTATAAAGAATATTTCGGTGAAACATTCACAAATGGACATTTTTGTGTTATTGGAAAATATATTGAATCGCGTTGCTATTTATTGACATGTTTCCCCATCTATCCATGTATGTAAGTCCGCATTCGAATGCTCGTATCTTAGTCGAAATGCGACAAAATCCAGTAGCAGCACCGTCAAAATGCAATTCAATTGAAATTGAAATTCGATTTCGTTCAAGCAATTGTAGTTGTACGTGTGTGGCGGTGATTTAATCACGAGTCAAAGTCATTAATTAACAGAAAAAAAAAGTTTATATATTTTTCAAGCTATTTTGACTGTTTTAAGATTCTGATTAATGTGTTCAATTCATTATTCGATTAAGTGCAATAAAATGCGTAAAAGAAAGAAAGAGCAAAAGAGAGACACTGATCGGCAGGTATAATGAATGTAGAGTGAAACAATTTTTGGTCTAATGCTTGACTGTGCACATTTTTCAACATAAATGCTTGAACCAAAAATGTATTTGAATGCGACTCGTTAATAATGCCGAAAGTATGCGCATACACACACACATATATATGCATATAGGCAATTCAATCGAAAGAAGAAGAAAAAGCAACAACACACGCGCACATACCATTTATGTATGTTCAAGTGTGCATTATAAATGACGACCAAACAATGAACGATTGAGAGGCGCAAAACGGAATTGAGCGAAACGTTGCTTGAATTGCTTCAAAGTAATTAAACTTATTTTCATCGATTGTGTGTTGTTGGACCGTAATGCATGTTTTAGATTCAAATATTTCTAGCGATATATTTTTATTTTACGTTTCATTGCTTACATGTCACCATACATTTTCAATTGTTAAATGTTCTGTTGCATATGTATTCATGATCGTAAATATGGGCCGTGAGCAAGTGAATCAAAAAATATTCAAAGAAGAATAAAAATTCATTATGCTCCGCAATTAAGCAGGTACCCGAAAAAGAAAACGACGAAAATGTCACATATATGTGTAATTAAATTTCAAATTTTGACCAGATTGCGAAGATCGTATCGGTTTTTATCAAACAAATCTGATTTGCAATTACTAAATATTGGACGCAGACTAATTAAAATGAATTTAAAGAAGCAGCAAATGTGCGCAAAAGAAAAAGAAAAATCATTTGCAGTGTAAGCGCCTACATCTTGCAATTGTAATGGGTAACGCAATCATTAGAAAGAGTGACAAAGAATAAGAGAGAAAATACATCGAGCTTAAGTTTGTTAAGCTTGCGTCTGAAGAACAGAAACAAAAAGCAATTTTCTTCGGTTTCGACTTTGTCGTCATTATGGTTTTGTTTCTTTTTACTTTTAATTTTACCTGCTTGAATGATCGTTATGGAATTTTAAATCGTTTGCATTGCATAAACTAAACTCACCATAGAAAACAGTTCATGCCATCGACGATGCCGAAGCCCAAAAACCACACGCGCTGCAAATGAAAAACCATACACATACACATATTTGTCGCACAGAAGTAAAAAAAAACGGGCAAGAGGGAGAAAGACTGTGCGCACAGTCGTATATCGTCGTATCGTATTTGCTAAACACGCTTTGGCCCCAACTGTATTATCGTGGTTGAATGCAAGCATCGAATGTATACAATTCAAACCGAAAGCAATGTGCGCACCGCTTAGTAAACTCAACACAATCGTTGTGCTTCAAACATACAAAGTCTTTGCTTCTTTTTATTTTATTCTCTGGCCACTCTCGTTGCTCGGTGTCGTGTAATTGTAAGCGCAATCGTCATTCAGTTTCGGTTCGTTTATGTGATATTATTACATTGAAAGCGAACAGCAACAGCAGCAGTAATAGCAGTAACCAACAACGAGCGAACAGAGTAAGCGCAGTAATAGCATACACGATTCATAAAATGTATACACATTTCTTCGGAGCAAATAGTACACAACAGTCGCATTTTCTCTTTCGGCCGTCATAGCGCATTTGCTTTTTGGTTGAACAAACGAATGTTGTGTTTATGTGTACGTGTTTGAGTGCGCGCACGCTGATCCGCTCTCTTCGGCCGCTTCGATCGTTATTTTCGTGCTTTTCGAGCGAGAGAAACATCAACAAAAAAGAAAACAGTGTGTTGTATATTTCGGTTGTATTAGCATATATATAAAATCAGTTGCATCATAGCCCTAAGACTTCAGTCGAATAAAAGTTTTACGCCTGCTCACATCATTGAGAGAGCGACATTACATTTGATACATGATACGAGCGCATACTGTTTTCTGACAAAAAAACAACCAAATATTTTTCTGTTACACATATTTTTTTTCGTTTCCTCGATTCTTGCTTCACTTTTTATTTTTCGTTGTTTTCGGACCATTTTTGGGGTGCGGAATACAAATCACAACGAATTTGAACCAGAGTTTATTTATGCATCCAGACTTTTTTTCATGCGCATTTTGCAAAAAAAAAAAACATTTTTAACGGATTTTTTGATAAAAAACAATAAAGATTGGTATTTTTCGTGAAAATAACTCCAAAACGATAAAGTTCATCAACAATTAGTGAATCTTTTCAAATTTTGACATCAAACAAAGTGCAAAAGGTGATTTTAGAAAAAAAATCTTCGACGATAAAAAAAAAACAAAGAACCAAAATCAATAAAGAAAAAAAACGCAAGTGTATTTTTCGTTGTTCAAAATCATTCGATTCAACGTGGATTCCTTGCAACTGTAACAACACAAAGGATTAAAACTGATTGAAGTGCATGTTATATTTTTATTGAACGAAAAGAGAGAATATTATAGATTGCAATCAGCGAATGAAAATATAAAGAGGCAATCGAAGCAACGAGTAAAAAAACAGACTTTGTCAAGTGGTTTTTGTTTCTGTAAATTTTGCAAAAAAGAAATAAGAAGAAGAAAGCAATTAAAATAGAACAGGGATTTATTGATCAACTGAAAGTGAAATTTTATTTGTATAAATAAAGAGAAATTGAAGAGTCGCGCGCGCACACCATATCATAGTGTGAGCCATCATCGATTCTCGCGAAAGGTGATAATTTCGGAAAATAAAAATTGAGATCATCGTAAAAATTGAATAGACGAAAAGAGAGTTCGGAGTAAAAAAAAAATAAAGAAAGGAAGGAATAAGAAAAATTAATTGAACCAAATAAAAAGGAAAGAAACAAAATATTGTGTGTATTGATTAGATCCTAATCAAATTATGCCGTCTGTGTATCGGCTGTGAATTTTTCGTTGGAAGTGCAGCACATTATGGAATCACCTCAAATGTATGATAGTCCGCAACAGCAAGCAATAAACCAAATGGATATTAAAAAAATGGCCACGAACAACAATAACGGTGCATCGGTGAATGGTAGTGGCAATGGTACAACGAATACCGCACAAAACAATAATAATACAGCAGTGGTGGCGACGACGGTGGCCGGTCTCAATCATAACGGTTTGATTGTAAATAAACAACAAGGACAATTGCATTTGCAACAGGCCACCAACAATAATAATAATAATAATACAAATAATAATAACAATAATAATGTGCTGTTACAAAAGCAAATTCTACAACATTATTCCGCACAAAATGATCTCGACGAGTTGACGTCTCAGGAAATAAGCTTAGATCTACAACATTTAATCGACGATCAATTTCGAGATCAAGAGGGTTTGGGCATCTTCTCCGATTTGGTACCAAATACAAATAACAACGCCACCACCACCACCACCAACAACAACAACAACAACAACAATAATAACAATAACAATAGTGGATCACATGCGAACGCCAATCAAAATGGTTCGACGGCGACAGCGGCCAAAGTGCTACAATTGCAACAACAGCAACAACGCATGAACCAACAAGTTTATCCACGTGCAGCGCTCGCCTATATGCCACAGGCCGTACATACTGGGGCCACATATGGAAGCAACAATTCAAGCGACGAAAACAGTTCCATTGGTTCAGATGCTACGAATATCAAAGAAGTACGTGTGTCTTTTTACTCATCTTCAGCTTTTTTTTTCTTTTCTCTTTTTTCTTCTTTCTCTCGGCCTCTTTTTTTATTTTGGTCAATCGTGATTTCATTATAATTACATCATCACATGGCTTTTGCTTTTTTTTGTTTGTCTGTTCAATGTGATGATGAGATTTGGCCGTATTTGCTTGCCCGGCTTTCATTTCGAAGTGCCAACATTTTTTATTTTTTTTTATTTTGCTGTAAATAATTTGTAAAACAAAAAGCAAAATTTATTTTGTATTTTGTTTGTCATTTTCAATATGTTTTTTTTATGTTTGCAAAAAAGAAAAGTAAACCAAAACCAAACGTTTGTCTCTCTTCATTCTCGTGCTCCTAGGAATTGAATGAACAAAATTCACACTTGAATTATACTTGCTCGTTGCAGGAGCCAGTTGAACCGCAAGAATATCGTCGTTTGGCCGCAGCAGCGGCTGTTGCTGTAAATGGTGGCCAATTTATTGGTGTGGGTGGCAATCAAAATGTGGCCGTTGGCAGTGGCGGTCTCTATCAAATACCACCAAATTATGCATCAAATGGTAGCGGCAACACATTCACCACATTATCAACGCCAACACTACATCATCAAGGACTACCGCATTTATCCGGCAATCATTTGGTCAATTTAAAGCATAAACAAATGATGAATCAACGTAAACAAAACGGTAAGCATATCGATAAGGGTACGGACGAATATCGTCGACGACGCGAACGTAACAATATTGCCGTACGAAAGAGTCGCGAAAAGGCAAAGGTTCGTTCACGCGAAGTTGAAGAAAAGGTGAAAACACTGATCAAAGAAAAAGATGCATTGATACGACGTCTCGAAGAAATGACAAACGAAATTCAATTGCACAAACAATTGTACGTGCACTTAATGAATCACAACAATCCAGAAGTAAATAATATCTGTCGTAATGTATTAAGCTTAGTTAGTAACGATCACGGTATGTGAAGAATGGAAAGAATGATATATATATATGTATAAAAGAAAAAACAAAGAAACAAACGATGAAAAAAAAACATACATGAAAGAGAATGCACGAATGAGAACCAGCGCCAATGAGCAAAGAATAGGTGAATGAAAGAGAGAAAGAGTGAGATTAAGTTGAGTGTAAGATCGCACTAATACAAATAACAAAATATATACGTATAAAATGATGGAAAAAGAAAACAAAAGAAATAACAAAAAAAAATTCAAGTAAAATCGCATTAAAGTAAGCTGAATTAAATTTGAAGTAAAGACAGTAAACAACATGTGCGCGCGCAAAAGTTAAATTCAAAATAACAAAATATATTTTAATAAAATACACATATTTATTGTATTCAAGACAAATTGGCTAAAGCACGCAGACCTTATACACCGGTGAACTCGACTTTTTTGCCTCTCACATTCATTTTTTCACCACAATTCACACGCAGGAACTTTATACAAGAGAAAAAGCGCCAGAACAAATCACAAATAGTACCGATCATAACCAAAAATATAGCCAGTAAATGCGACGTTTCATTTTTTTTTAATTTAATTTGTATTTCTATAATTGTTATTTTTCGATGCGAATGACTCAAAACCACAAAGAGTCTTCAGTAAAATGTCAACTGCTATTTCGCATTTTTTTTCTATCTCTCTCTCTCTTAAACTTGCCAAAGACTTTCTTCAACGATCACAATTAAATCAAATCTTTGCTACGACACGACCCATTTACCAAACATTTATTTATGGTAAAAATTCGATTTCAAATTCAATGAGATCGACATTTCATAATGGATTGCTTTCACACAAACACACACATACCTGTACACATTTCGGTTAATAATGGGCTAGAGTGCAAATTAAATGTTAATTTAATGACTTATAAAAATGTTTGGGTGCTTGCTTCTATACACAAACTACTTTACGAAATAGCACCTCTTTTTGTGGATTTTAATATTGGAATGGAAAGAAATTTGGAAGTAGGATTCGGAAAAAAATGAGAAAAGATGTTAGAAACCAGTACAAAGCTTAAGTTTTCAGGCACATCGTATATTTTGTTGGACATTTTAAGCCATCTCGAGATTGTAAATTGAAGTTTCACCCTGAGAGTAGAAGAAATTTTAAGCCATGAACACTGAATCCATTTTTGCACAGTATTTGCATCCATGCACCCACATCAAATGCACAATTTGGACAATTGTGCTCGATCTGGCCGATCGAAACCATGTAGACACAATAAACCACCTAACGCATTTAATTGTGCCTGAACTGGCTTGTTTTTAATCATTGTGATAAAAAAATGATTGCATCTAATATTTGGTATTTGAAATTGTTTTATAAATGAATTTTGCGAAAGCAATTGAATGTTTTTCTGCTGATTGGGGGTGTTTGCTACACGTACAAGTCTGACATGGAATAATTGAGAACGTTTTAGCACATCCATTTTTAAGATCAAACCCAATGAAAAGTTCGACGAATAAAATGCATTTCAGTCGCTGTGGCAAAATATTCTCCTCATCGATTCTTCTATCTTGATGACTAATAGATTGATTGTTAATGAAAATTATGATGCATGTAATCATCGCTTATATCTAAAGTTCGCAACACGCCCGTGACGGATATGTGATTCAAAATCACATAACTCTTACACGCACATAATATGCGGTGCATGCAAGTTGTGTCCGAATTCGTGAAGAAAGAAATACGTTGAAGATGATGAAGAGAAAAGACGATGAAAATGAAATGAGTGAACGACAAAGAAGAAGAAGAAGAGACGGCATCGAGTAACGTAACGCATTACAATAATACTATAAAGAGACACATATATTAAAACTGAAAACAAAAGCCGAAGCAACGCAGTAAATAAGTAGGTCATACATACATGTTACTTCCTCGCTTTTTATGTACACGCATTTTGAATTTCATTTTCGTTTTCATTTTCATGCTGATGTTGTTGTTGCTTGTGTTGTATGTGCGTTCTTTCTCTCTGTTACACTCGCTAGTTTGCTCTTCTCTTCAATTCTCATGCTCTCGGCGTGCGTTCGGACGTACAGAAACATTTTTGTTTTTGGTTTTGTTTTAATGTCTATTCCAAAATGAAATACGCGCTCATGCGTTCGTTCAGCAGTTACATTATATTGATCATAGTATTAGTTGTTGGTTTTATTTTTCTTTGAAAAAAAAAAGTTTTCTTCTCGAAAAATTTGTATTTTCGTTGTCGTTGCCTTTTTTCGCTTGGATCGACTTCAATTTTTTTCCTCTTCTTTTCTATCTCTCGACTAATATCGATAAACCGCATTCGTATTTCATACTTGTTACATCAAAATTCGACCGTACATACATCATTACATGCGATCATGCACACATCTATCTATGAGTTTAAAAAAACACACACACACATAAAGTTTTAGCTACATTTTATTCAATTCGCTCACGTTTTTTTTACAATGAACGAAGCGATAATTGTAAAAGCATAGTGTGTCAGCGTGCGTTGCACATTTATGAATACACGGGTTTTGTTGAAATCGTCTCCGTGCATTTTGTTGTTGTCGCTTTTAGTTTTGGATTGTGTGGCATTTTCATCTTAACGCCGTTTGACACTTACACACAGAGAGACGTTGTACAAAAACTCTAATTTCGGTGAATTCATTCAATTAATGAAAACGGTTTTTTGCCATTCACAAAAAAAACAATGACAAGTAATCATTACGATTCGTTGTTACATGCTTTGGAATTTGTTTGTTTTTTTTTTGTTTTCGGGACGACTCGCACATCGTGTGTGTGTGTGTGTGTGTGTGTGTGTATACCAAATAATGTTCGAATGCGCAGTGCGCACACGGATCGAGAAACACTCGTGAACTTTATTAGATGCTATTTCGAAATCATAGTTTTATTACGTGCAGATATAACGCTCTATTCAGGCGCTTCGATACATGTGTTTTTAAGAGAGTGTGATATTTCCACAAAATAAACTATTTACACTGAAGAATAGTTTGTAGCTCAAAATACGAACGCGTTCACATTCTTTTCTTCGTGTCTTGAATATAATACCAAAAGGCCCAAGTAATTAGAAGCGAATGTGCCGATAAATATCATGCAATACCAAAAAGTATTACTGTGCTGTTCACAGCGTGATGATTCTTATCACCGTGCTTGTACTAAATCTGTTTTATAGATTGGGCCTTTTCGGCGAATGCAACCAATTTTTTGCTTCAACGCAATAATATGCCTCCCTTTCCGACATATATGACTAATACAGGATGACAAAACCAACACAAATCATTAAAAGCTCAGCCGAGATTTGATTCTTTGGAAAAATGAACTAAAATCCATCAATTTCTTTACCGAATATACCAATTTCATCGCAAGCGAAAAACAATGCGAGCCAAAGAAAGGAAAACTTAAGTCGAGTTCAATCGCTCTGCAAGTAAATTTTTACTATTTCGAATTCAATTTTGGATGAAAGAGAGTGTTTATTGAGATGTTGAATAATAATGTTAAAGCGAAGATGAAAAAAATATATTAAAAACGTTCTATATTGTGATTGCTTTTATTATAAATTAAATAGCCGAATTACAAATATAAGCACCAGTTACCTGTATAAAGTGAAAAGAAAAAAAAATCATAAACGAATGGATTCATTGTGCAATAAATTGATTTTAGCAAAAGAAAAAAAATTAAATAACATCGAGGAAAATACCGATAAAAGCGGCCGAATAACGTTACTAAATGATTTTCAAAAAGACATGAATCGTTGGTTACCACGAAAACGGGTATTTTATTCAATTTTTTTTTCTCGCTCATAAAATATATATATATACATTTTTAATCATAATTCTTTGAATGAACTTGATGATTGGCATCAAAGGCGCAGCTACTTTAGGCTGGTGCTGTACAACCATAGTTAGTTACCTAAACAAAACTTAGAAGAATAAAAACAAACAAACAAATTGTCGATGTTTCTTTAACTTTCATTATGAATTGGCCTGATCATAGTTTCGATTGTCGAACTGGTGAAAAATTGGCAGCAAAATGAGAGAAAAGCAAACAACAAAATCGACCGATTTTTATTTGTTCGTCTTTTTTTTGTAATAATAATAAACATACGTAACAAAAAAAAAATACAAAACACATTTGGAGTTGCATTTATTGAACTTTCTGCGATTGAAAGTGAGATTAAATAAGCGAAATTCGAAAAAGCCATTTCGGATCAGAGAATATTCTTTTTTTAGACTGTAGATATGCACAAATTACGCACACCGCGATTTACCAACCACTTCCTACCATCACATTTGCAATCATTTTCATGGGAATGCCGGAACATTTCTCGAAACGGAAAACGGTTCGTTCCGGCATTCTTTTTATAGTGATTTTCTTTATATCACGCATGATTTTGTGCGTTATTTTAAATTCATTCAACATCGAATGTCCACCAACCCAACATTGTTCGTTCTATTTTTGTTTTGTAAGAGAATTCATAATTTCATTAGATTTCCTTTTCTACTCTATTTTTTTCTTCTTCAAAATAGTACTAATTAAGCATTCATTTTATAATTTTATCCCATGAAAATGACGAAGATAAAACCGCGCATATTTGATGGAGAAGGTTTAGCGAATTTTTATTTTGTTTTTTTTTTCTTCTGTAGACTTTAAGATTTATATTATTCAAAGATTATATATCTGCGCATTTCGGTTTGTAGCTTTCTTTCGTGTTTAGTAATGAGTTAATAAGGACAGTTTATTTTCCATTTTATTCTTCTTTTAATTTTAAGATAAAGAGAATATGGACAAAATTTGCAAAGCAACTGTCCAAAAGAAATGAATTTTTAATTTCTTTTTTGTTTTGTTTTTATTTTTTTATCAACTAAAATATGTGTTTTTTTTTCTGTAAACATTAAGTTACCCATTGTAATCGTATTTAAGTTTTATTTAAATCAAATATAAAGCATGAAAATAGAAACAAAAAAAAATTATTATAAAATAACAAAATTTCAAATGCCGGGCAAGTTACCAAGGTTATAGAATATAGGATCTCTGTATGTTCATGCCGATGTGATGCAATCGAGTGCGAATTGTTGCTGTCGTGGAAAAGTTATGTTCGATAAACATCATCAACAACAGTGCATATTCAAAGTGTAAATTGATGACAAAATAACTCGTTGTTTTCATGCATTGCTGTTGATGACATTCAGTCCAAACCATAAATCATTTGAGGAAACGAAAAAGCACAGAGATTTTTTCTCACTTTTCCATTGCTGATTTCAATTTCATCGTTTGCATCCGTTTTGCGCAGAGCAACTTAGATCGATACACAAGCAAATATATATATAATAATGTAAATTTATTGTAAATTTTTGGTTATATGTGAAGTTTGTCTCATTTTATTTTCAGTTCTTTTTTAGGATAAGATTTATTCATACGCATATTTAATTTAATATATATAATATATGGTTTATAAACATAGATATGTATTGTGTTAGCATTTTCGTTTAACGAAATAAAAAAAGTGTTTGATGAGTAAGCAAGATCGCGGCAAAGATCGAGATCGTTAGTTACTTATTCAACAATGACAACAACAAAAAATGTACTTTGTTAGAAAACGTAGCATAAAAATCGCAATGAATTCTATGTATATCGTTTTGTTTTATTTTTCTTTCCTGCATTTTTCCTGCTTTTGTAAAATTTAACGGACACCATTGAAACACTGAGAAGGTGATAGGATCTGGTCAAAAGAAAAATTATCACAAAAAAAAACAATCATCTGTGCCTGCCTTGAACAGATGGCAAAAGTGATTTCGCGATAAAAATCTGTGTCCGATAACAATTGCAAAAGCAGAAAAAATTAAGAAGAATTTTTGTCTGCAAAATAACACGCAAACACAAATCACAACCAAATTGTACAATATGTTGCATTTGTGGTTGCGTGCCACGGAAAGAACACATCTAATATTTTCGTTAAAGTTGAAAAAAAAAAATGATGAACAAGAAAAAATGGTTACAGTTTATTTACATGATGAATTTTAGTTTTCTATGTGGAACCAATGTATTAGATTTATATAGACAATTTTTTTTTGAATAAATACGCACACATTTTCAAAATGTACCACACAATTTTTTCATTATCACATTTCCTCTTAGCTGGTAATGTCTTATTCGCTCGATTTCCATTGTGAAATGGAATAGATCTTGTGTTTCGTGTCTCAAATTCTGAAATTGTTTCGATTTTACAAAAATCTTGAAACTGGAAGGTGAGTACATCTTTTATGAAGCTTTTTTTTATTAAATGCCATGTCTACAGTTCTATAAAGCCAAAGAACAATCGAACATTTCATGAAAATTCAGTATCAAAAGACAGATGTTTTCATTTTCCAGCTTTCACAGTCAGTTTATTACTTTTGTGTAGGAAAGGTATTGTATTAGGCCAAAAAAATAAAGTCACCCCAAAACATGTATTCTATGCATATTTCATGTAGAAAACACGATTGGAGATGATTTTAGGGCATATTAATGTGCGTCACTGTGTCCTGTGTCCTGTGGCGTGTTGCCAAAATTTGTTAACACGATAAATCTTCTTCCAAAAACTCAATTCAAATTCTGACTTTGCAGGATGATTTGGGACTACTAGGAGACGTGCTGATTAGTTTTTGAGCAATTTCTGCACAGCAATGAAACGACAACAACAATAACACATATTTTTACTGTCAAAATTTTGATGTCAAATGGTGTCGACATTGGTGACGGTATTTTGAAACAGACTGTGTAATCCATATTCATCGTATATGATCCTATGTAAAGTTCTATACTTGATCTAGTTCACATTGACGGTTCAAATCGTTTATGTCCACTAGCGTTGACTTGGACTGTGTTTTTCTTCTGTTACATGTACGTTGTAATGGACAAGTATAGTAACATGGCGTCGTTCAAATAAATTTAAAAATCCGTCCACTCGTGTCGACACCATCTAGCACGGTAGTGGGGATTTCATTGCTGTGAATTTCTGTTGACCGGTGTAATTTTTTTTGGTCCGAATGGAGTACCCACATCCATAAATTTTTTGATCATTTTAATTTTTCAAATTTTGGTGACACGATGGTTTCGTGCTCAGACATGAAATTCAAAATCTAACTTTACGGGATGATTGGGACATTGATTGGTCGGTGTAAAACTTAGACTCCGAAGAGGCACTTATCAGAAAAATGCCTTAAAGTGATATTCTTTCAATTTGAACGCTGAAAGAATGTGTAGTGGGGGGTTTTTTGGCACGAGAAACCCGAATATGATGTTAGTTTTAAGATGCAATCAATTTTTCAAAGACTTTTCACACAAAAATTCACAAAGAATTTCATTTTTGTATGAAAGACATGCCTTTATGGTACCGTAATGATGTGAAACTTTGAACAGGCTATTTTTTTGATTGAAATATCTTTAAACTTGGTGTGATTATTTATTTTGATAGAAAAATAATATTCACAAGTTTTCACGGTTATTTAAGTTACTGCAACCATACATAGACCATGATTTCAGTTTATTCCCAAAATTTCGGTTCCATGCGGAAAAGTCAGCTTGCGTACGTAAGCCTATTTATTTTCAATCGGAAAACGGGTAATTTTTGAAGCAAAGGTAAAAAAAAGCCATCTTCACTTCTAACGACGCTCTATAAAGAAGTGTTTTCATTTATTCTGCAAAAAGAGAGATTCTAATTTGCATAAAAATAAATCTTGCCAATAAAGAAAAACCTTGAACTAGAGACGAGAAAAAAATACAAAAAACACACACCTTGATCATTATCACCACAAAAACAGTTTTTTTTAGCACTACATGAAATGTCGGCTATTGGTTTGGTTCTGTTTATTTTTCTCTCTTTTTCCGGCCCATTCGAATTTATTCGATCTCATTTACCTTTGTTCAACTTTATTCATACTTTGTCGATTTCAGTGAGATTTAGTTAAAAGCGATTGAAATTGATTAAATAAAAGTGATTTATGTACCTTAATGCGAGCCAAGCGAGCAAGAACTCTTGTTTTTTACATTTCACATGCAAAAGTGCCAATAATTAATTTTAGCAAATCTATTTTTAGAACATCTTTACTGTTTCAAGAACGACAGCATCAACCGATATTTAATCATTTTCACTTGTATTTAATAAATTGTCTTCATTTAGAGGATAAATTGCATGCTCTATTTTTATTTATTTTCAAAGTTAGTCCTATCGATATTCCATCAACGAAACAAGTGAGCTGAGTAGTTTGTGTTAATTGGTTTTCAATCAGTTCGCTGTTCGTAATTAAATCATGCCAAATGTTATCAGATGATAATTTTGCAGACAAAGCTGTGGGGTATTTTCTTTTTGTTTCTTTATCAATTACCGTTCGGTATTTTGTCTATTTTGTAATTGACAGCGTCTATCATTTGTTTTACAGTTAACAATGGTCTTTTTTTTCTGTGCAGAAACGATTAAGGGGTTAACGATATTCGCTCATGTTTATTATTCTATGTCTCCCATAATTGTCATATATACGTGGTTGACTACGGCAACGATACGGCAACATGGAGACAACCACGGTGGCAGATGTTTCATGCAAATAGCCACAAAAGCCTTAATATTTATACAGCAGTTTTGTGCACATTTTTATTTTCATTGGGACAAAATCGAAGCTCGCACATTTAAATCACGATATTGAAAAATCAATTCCAGGCAACAAATGCAATAGCAACAGACACTGTTTGCATTCGATCTTTTTGTCTTTCTCTCATTCAGATTTTGTTTTGTTTGCCATTTTTTCTTTTCGAACGTCATTCACGTGCAAATATACACGTATTTACGTAGTTCAAGATTTTTTTTTTTGAAAAGGGAAATGATCTGCTCAATTTAGGAAAATTTTGAGCGTCTGGACAATGACACACAATTCAAATGGCGATAATTTCGTATTTTTTCATGAAATGCATTCGACCAAATATTTGCAAAACTGTTACTAAAAATAAATGATGAATAAATTTCCACACCAGAGTGCAATGGACGAATGTTGTAGAAACGATAAGATTGTCCAATTTTAATGACCAAAAGAACCGAATCAGCGAAGAAAATTCATTTGAAATTTTCTATGCAAGTTGGATTTAGTGGTGATTTAAAAATAACAGCAAAAGTGCTTTTCTCTTCGAAATTCCGGTAAAAATGTGAAATTGTGCGAAAATGCACATGTTTCAATGATACTTTTGTTCAATTGAAAGATCCATATCGTTCGGCTTTAACTAGAAACAAACTCCAAAACGTGTGCGAATGCGTACAAAACGAAAATTTACCACAAGCAATTAGACTGGCTATTAACCGTAATTGAGTGTCTAATATGAAATTTCGCAAAAGTAGTTAACTCTTTGGTTATTGATAAATTTACCAAAACGATACTCATTTTTAGCATGAACAAAAGCATTTAGTTTTTAATTTTTATTTAATAGATGAGAGAGAGAGGGGGAGAGAGATGAAGAGAGGCATGAGATATTAGTCTTGTGGTTGCACTCACGCACAACGGCTGTTTGTCTATGCCGATTTTTTTTCTGTTTGGCATACAATATCGCACATCAGTTATGAGTCATGAGTCATGACATGCGGTGTTTAGTGTATACACTTATGTGTGTGTGTGCTATTGTTTATTTGAATAACAGGCAAAATCATTGTCTTTTCTCGCTCGCTCGTTTGCTCATTGGTTGTTTCTTTTTTTTTTTGCGGCAAATAAGTGAAAGTTGGAAAATAAACAAAAATATGTTACCAAAAATGTGACTGAATATGGTTGCAGGAATGAGAGGAGCCGATAAATTTTCGTTCGAGAGAGAAATGTGCGTAAAATAGCATATGCACGACATATTGCTGCGATGCATATTTGGCACACCACCAAAATCCATGGCGTTTCGTGATCATGGAATGGAATTTAACACAAATCTAATGTATTTGCAATTCTGAACCCAAAATCAATTAGTTCCATGGGTAACGCCGGTGACTAAGGACTCTCAATAATGATAGGAATTCCAACAATGCTACTTTACCGCAACGAACCGCATTAAAATGTGCAAATTTAACGACAATTTCATCGACGTTCATAGATGTTTTTTTTTGTTGTTGTTGTTGTTGTCTCGACTATTGCGTTATACGCACAATAGTCGGCTGTTGGTTTGTTGTTTTTTGTACGTTAAACGTTCTTTTCACTCGGGTTTGGTTTACATTTATGGATTCCGCATAATTTCCAAAGCAATATTATGAAATCTGCGTTTATTGAATGCAATGACATCGAAACAAAACGGTTTTGTTTTGTTTTTCCTTCGTTCAGCTTATGAATATTAATATGTGTCTATTGATAGATATGACGTAGAAGAACAAAAGCGTAACACACTTCCTACCATCATTTTTTTCACCTAGTGGCTTAGAATCCGGTAAAACGGCCGTTTGCCTTTGGTTCATTCATTCATAAATTGATGTGTCATAGAACTTTCATTCAAATGAAATCGAACACCGTTGCATACGATTTTCATTCATATTCTGATTTTGAACGATTGAATTTCGCATTTCCAATCAAGTACAGCTATCTTTAAACTATTTCAAAGGAATTGGACTCATTGACTCATCACATCAATTTTTTGGTCGCCTTTATCAACAAACTCCGACACTCACAAACTGAACGCTTCAAAAACGAGGTCATTATAAAAGGGATAGTGTTTTTTTTTGTATACATAATATATATTTTTAAATTTTCTTTCTCTGTCATCTCTCTCGTTTCGCTGTGAACAAATTTGTTACATTGTTAAAATACCGTTTAACACTTTAACACAACACTGCCAAAATTTCGATTCGCCATGCGTAACGATTTAAAAGCGAAAGTTTTGCCATATGACAGTAATGTGTGTATTTTGTTATATTTTTTTTTTCGGATTCAGAATGCATGTTTATTTTATTTACCATGTCTAAAAAAGCAAAGAAGTGCGTTCCATTGTTATGAACATATATTGGTAATACGCGGTAATACCATTGAATATTTTGAATACACAATGGAATTTCGAATGGTTTTGCGGAATGCGATAAATGAATTATGCAGAACAAAATTAAAAACTGAAACC